TCTGTCTCCCTGTCTCTCTCTGTCTGGCGAGCGCACATGCCTTAAAGCAAAAACCTCTCCAAAAAAAAAAAAAAAAAAAAGATTTAGTTCCGCCTATCAAGTTCTGTTGGAATTCTTGCAAAAGGTCTGACCATGTTCCGATCTACCATTTTGTCAAGTGTGGATGGGTGTGTTTAATCAATATTATGGTCTGATACTCTAATGCTACAATTGGCTCGGGAAATGAATTTAACAGTGAGCATTACTATTTCAGACACAGAAATCTGAACTGAGATGCCACTGAGATTGAAAGGTGGCCCAGAAGTGTTGACTTATACTGCTGTCTGTGATACCAGCTGTTTTGAAACTAGTCCTGACTTTGCAGAAGCTAATGGTTTAATCAGTGTGTAGAACACACACTCGCATAAACAAGTTTCAAGTCGGGTTACCTTCCATGCATGAAAGGGGCTCACCAGCATTCTGATGGGATGGATATTGGTCCTATGAAGCAGTTGTACATGGAAAATCATACTGTCATAACTTAAGCTGGAACCCATTTTTTAATGAATTACTAAAAAAATAATTTACTAAGCAGGTGGGATGCTGGAAATACAATAACAAGCAATAGGTAAGGCATGTATTTCAAGAGTTTCTTGTCTAGAAAAATCTTTTTTTTTTTTTTTCCTGAGAGAGATTTTTGCTATAGGGTGTGTCTACTTACTGGAGACTCAGTGAGACAGAAGGTGAGAAATCACTCCTTGGAGGACATGGCCACACCACAATCCCTTCTCTTCTCCTCTTGGGATCTTGGGCATGCACACACGCATGCCCAGTGTGAATTTCAAGCCGTGGAGTTTGGGACTCCAACCACAGTCAGCCATGTGGGAGTCTAGCACCTTAACCACTACACCACCTGCTGGTCCCTAAGATATCTTTTTAAATGAAAATAGAATAATAATTTCTATGGTAAGTTAATATGGTATCAAACTAGTCAAGTTGAACTATATTTCCCTGTAGTGCTCTATTTAGAGTTGGCCACAGAACTCTGCATGTGTTTTTGAAGGCATAAATGAAACCACAGCCCAACAGGTGTGCTGAGTGCCAGGTGCTGTTGCAGCTTCCCACCATGCCACTGATCAGCTGGGTCACAATACTGGTGCAGGGCAGTTCCCAGGCTGGTGCTTCTTCAAATCTTGCCATACCTCCTTTGGTTTCTCCAATTCTTGGGCCAAAAACTACCTTGGAAGTGAAGCGTTCTGCTCTTTCTCAAGGCAGTGTGAGACAGACATGGATTCCAATTTGTCATGTTCTCCTCCATTTCACATCCAGCTTTTCTTTCAGCTCTAGACCCTGATGACCCACGGTGACCTCAGGGCCACACAGAATCCCAGGTGATAGCTTTGCACAGACTTCTTCAGCAGCTCACATGACTGTGCAGGGTCTGATTCCCATAACAACTATCTGGGCTTATCTTGGTGGCTCTGCTTCCATGATTGAACTCTGAACCCTGAGAGATTAAATACCTAGGTTTTATAAACAAAGAAACTTTTAGGACAGTATAGGTCATATGCTTTTCAATGAAGAAATGGTTTTTAATTGCATAGTCATGTAGGTAATATCGTACTTGCTAATCCAGGCAACAGACAGATGCCCCAGCCCTCATTCTGAAACCAAACATCCCCTTTGGCAAATGCTAACAGCCAAGTTCTAAAATACCAGTCTAAACTTTTTCCGTCCTTTCCCTTCATGCCTAATTCCCTTTCCCCAGCTATTAGTTGGGGGGCATAAAATAACAACAGAACCAAATTCAAAAGAAGAAGGTGATATGATTTAGGACTTCCACAGCATGGTAATGTGGTTGGAGTTAAGATATTCACTACAGTCAACTCTAACAGTTCCAGAGACTCTGAGTTCATAAGAAAAATTTCAACTTTCTGTGACAGTTATTAATATGAAGGCATTATCATTGGTGAGCTTATGCGTGGCCCTGATTGTTTACAATTCAGGCTTTGTTTGGATTTAATTCTTTCCTGGCAAGAAACACCTAAAGGAGATTCCCCCCACCTGCCCCAGCAGACCTACAGAGGGAGCTGGTTACCTGGAGAAGCAACCTGGAGACATGCCTCTCTCAGACCACGAAGGTCAATACGTTACTGAGTTGATGGATTCAAACACATCGAAGACACATAAATGAAGTGGGCTAATGACTGGTGTGGAAAGGGGACATGATGAGTATTGAAAGTTTGGAATCTACTGGAGTTACCAAAGGTGGGTGGAGATCACTTGGAAAAGGTTCCACTGTACCCAAATCATGTTTTTGTGTCTTTCTCTCCCAGTAGACCACACACTTCCTGAGGGAAGGGAGCATGGGTCTTTTTTCTTTGTAGTTCCATCAGTGAGCATAGTACCTGACAAATAGGAGGTGCACAGTACATGGAGTTTTGTTTTGTTTTGTTTTAGTGAAAATATGTCACTCTAGACCAAGTGACCTTAAAATTTAGACTAGGAAATATTCTTCTTTGAAGGAACTGATCTTGTGAAATTGGTCATACCAACTTAAGGCAGCCCACTGCACCTGTTTTCCCAGATATAACAGAAATAAAATATATGGGACCATACGAATATTAATTGCAGGGTCTTAGCCACGCAACTTAGGAGTATTTCCCTCCCTGCTTTCACGTGGGCTATTTGGAATTAAAATATGACCAACCTCTTTTAAAAATATTCAAATCACATAGCACTGCAAGGAAGATTATGAACACTAGGCTAACTATCATCTACCTAATGTATTTTGCAATTTCCACATAGTTTCCGAAGAGGGAAAGCTGACACCAATGGCAGCCATAGACACCTGTGACTTTTCTCATTCTCAGCAATAGCTCTTGCTCTCAGCTGTACCTGGAGAACATTACCTTTGCTAGCAGCAGAGGAGAGGCTTCTCTTGGTAAATTTAGCCAAAAAACTAAGAGCATCTGAAGTTTGACTTTCTGGGATCCCTGGATGGTGGGCAAGTTCTCTCACCAAACTTTCAGGCTGATATTCATCAGGTTTCCAGCCACACCCACTCCCACACTGGTTTTCTCTTCTTATACTTTACATGTCCCCTGAGCCCGCTGATCCATTCATTATGGTTCCATGCTCATCCTCCCTCTCCCTGAGCTCTGGCCCTGTATAGACAATGATAGATAATCTATTGGCTGTCTTCACCCAAACTCCCTGGATTCATCATTGAATTACTGGGACCAGCAGATGGTGTAATGGCTATGTTGCTGGACTCCCATGTAGTCGACCCGGGTCCAAGTTCCGGACCCAGTGGTTTAAACTCACACTGGGCGCGTGTGCGTGTGTGCCCAAGATCCTGAGAAGAGAATAGAAGGGGAGGAACTGTGGCATGGCCATCCTCCCGGAAGGGTGATTTCTTACTTCCTGTCTCTCTGTCTCTCTCTGTCTTTCTGGCAAGCACATGCACCCTATAGCAAAAACCTCTAAAAAACAAACAAACAAAACACTGAATTATCTTGAGCACCAGGCTCATTCTGTTTCTAGAACCTACCAGGCTTGGGATATATCACAGAACAAAAGGTAGATCCCTGCCGTCATGGAGCTCACATCCCAGTGACATGTTAGCCAAACTCAGCATGCTCAGACAGAACTAAGTAGCTCCCAGACTCCTTCTCCCATGGTCTGTGCCTTGTTAGGTAACAGCATCACCATCACCTACTAGATTGTTTTCCATTTCACAAGGCACCAAATCCTGTATGGTTTGCCTCTAATTAGCTCTCAAATCATGGACTCCTCCATGCCTTCATTCCAGTCTTCTCGGTGTTTTCTGATTTTTTATTGATGCCCTTACCTGAAACCCCTCCTCCTCTAGCCCTTTTCCATGATGTCACCACAGTGGCTTTTCTGAAACACTGATCTCAGTATTATACTCCTCCACTGTGATCATTCTCCACTGCTCTGGGGATACAAGGCCCTCTGCTATCTGGGGCCTAGTGTCTTCCTTTTTTCCCTA